TGTGATCTTGAGCATCTAGGCGCTTTTTTTTTATACTGAAATATTCATCAATCTTATTTGACTCGAGGCAACGAACCTCCTTCTTTTTGGCCCTGTCAGATTTCACTCGTGTGATGTGCAGCGTGTCTCGGGACTCCCGTTCCATGTCATTCACAATATCTGAGCGGAGATCATTCACTTGCTTCTGAAGACGTGTGCATCTCTGTCGGTAGTACTTCAGCATCTTGGCTTGGCTGTTGATTTTGGCATCTTTGGTTGCAAGAAGTCTTCTGAGCAACTGCAGAGAGACAGAACCTGAACCATTGTGACTGTGGACTTGTCTATGACGAGGTCGAGCATCATGAATGTCACGGAGGTCATCATCAGGGTCAGCGCCAACACCACCCCCAGACCCACACCCATGAGACTCATGAGGCTGACCGTCCACTCGAGAATCACTCGCACTCGCAACCCCGGCGTTGGAACCTAGGTTCTGCTTCAGTTGATGCCACTCATCAGGTCTGAATGATAAAGCGTGGATGTCCTCCAGCACACAGAGGAGGACGTCGAAATCGAACATCGGTTCACCACTGTGTGCATGCCCCTCGCGCAAGAACAAGAGACCAGTGGTTGACATGAAATGATCGAATTCAAACCCTCGCACGGCTCCCCCACCGGCAAGAGAGTATTTACCTGCTTGACATATCGAATAAATATCGGATCTGGTCACACACAAACGACCATCAACTCCGGAAACACATGCACATTTCTGTAGCAAATTGAGCAGCACAGGCTGGATTGCCAATGAAGGCAGCGACATGGCTGGCTATATTCCTGCACGATATGGTGGCAATACTGATACGAATAAACCCAGCCAGCCAGATGTAGTCTAGAGTCTAAGAGTCTAACCGTTCTGCATCCGAGTTCAGAAACTTCGACTCAAGATGTGATCTGATGACATCACCTTGCACACAGTCACACAGAATCGTCAATTCGTCAATATATTTATATATATATGTATATTATGTATATGAATACACACACGACCGCGATGCCGCACTGAGTCGAGAAGAGCTGAGCGTAACCGTGACCGTAACCGCTACGTGTACTTTTACATGGCACATGAATCATGAACTACATGACTCCATGACAGCTAGCTGCTAGAGCAAAATGCTGCATACATGGGTGCATGACATGCATCAGTGCATAGTGCATGAATGACCAAACTGCCGAAGCAATATGCTGATATGCTGAACATGTTGCATGAAACATTGCATGAACTTCATGACCACGATCCTATGAACCATGCCATGAGCACATGAGCACATGCAGTCACATGAAATGACTCGCATGAACCGCCGACACTTATCAGAAGAGAACACCAGCGAAAACGTCGGACCACGACTACGACCAGCAAACAACAACGATTAACAACAACAACAACAACAACAACAACCACAACAACAACAACATCAACAACAACCACAACAACAGCAACAACAGCAACAGCCACAACAACGACAACACCACCAACAACTAACAACAGCAACAACAACAACAACAACAACAACCATAACGACGCCATCAACAACAACAACAACACCAACAGCTCAAATGTTTCGACAGATTCACCAGAGTTAACACAAGCAGCTTAAAAATTAATAAGCAACCACAACAGCAGCCGCCGACGGCCGACAGCCTCAAACTCACTGACCCACTGAGCCACTGAGTCGCCAATCAATGCACCAGCCAGCTAAGCACAACAACAACAACAACGACAACTTTGCCCAACACCAACAAATGCAAACGACAAACTGACAGACAATGAGACAAACAGACAAACAGCCGGCCAACCACGGGACAAGCCACTACTCAAGCAATTGCAGCAGCAGCAACAAGAACAAGAAATACGACTCGCGACGGCATACGACGACGAACACTGACTCAAAACAACGCGCATACAAGAACGACTAACGACTAACTACTAACTACCCGTAACTCGTACAATTGACTCTTCGAACGACTAACCGAACCACACCGATCCAATAATAACGACCACAGTTCAATCGACAGTAGAATTTGAAAGAACGCAAAAAACAGCAACACAACAACAACAGCAACAACAACAGCAACAACAGCCGCAGCAGCAACAGCAGCAACAATTGCAACAGACAAACAAGGACCAACCAATGAACCAACCAACCAAGAACTAAGGATTCTAAGGATTACAAGGATCAACTGGATCAACCAATCAACCAAGCAATCAACCCACCAGGGACCCACCAGGCAAGCAAAACAAGCCAACAAATAACAAACACAAACAACCAAGCAAACAAACAAACAAATCAAGTTACAAAACATTAATAGAATAGGTATGTGATGATAACAGTTCAATCATCCTCACCATAACACATAGCAACAACAGTAGCAACCACAACGACAACCACAACACCATCAGTGACATCAATCACCAAGGCAACAGCAACAACAACCACTCAGCACAACCGCGGACTGCAGCAACAACACGGACCAACAACAACAACAATACGACACCAACAACAAACACAACCATGAGATAGCATAAGACAATAAACAAACCAAAACATCACACGAGGTGGCAGCAATGTAAATAGTAACAAACATGACAGGGCATCACATGGCGTGAGCATGAAGCATGAGCATGAGGCTAACATGAGGAGTGGTTGTTGATGTGATTTGTTGATTCTAATTGTTGTTGTGATTGAAATTGTGTGCGCGTGTGTGTGTGTGTGTGTGTGTTGCACTGGTTGGTGTTGTTGTGATTGTACTGTGAGTGCCAGATATGTTCAGTTGTTGTTGCTGATGCTGCTATGCTGGTGACACTGTTGGTTTGTGATGCTATGTGCCGTGTTTTGGTGTTTCAGTTTGCTCTTGGTGATGTTGTTGTTGCTGCGCTGCTGTCGTTGGTATCGTTGGTGCTATTGTAGATGAGATGAGTTGATTCGACGACGACGATGATTGTGATGGTGACGGTGATGAGATATCGTTGGTGTTGCTGTTGACATTACTACTATTGTTGAGGTTTATGTTGATGTTGCTGGTGTTGTTGGTCGGTGGGTGGATTTTTTGGTTGTGGTGATGTTGGTGTTGTTGTTGTTGGTGGTGGTGACGTGTTGTTGTGCGCTGCTCATGAGCACATGCACTCGTGGTCATGTTGAGCATGTTGCATATGCCGAACATGAACATGTCGCACATGCTGAAAAGGAGCAACATGCGGAACATGAGCACATGCGCTCTCATGCATAAACATGTTGCACATGCGAAACATGAGCACATGCACTCCCGAGCCCTCCCCCCAGCCCATCCCCAAACATGTTGCACATGCGAAACATGAGCACATGCACTCCCGAGCAACATGTTGCACATGCGAAACATGAGCACATGCACTCCCGAGCCCTCCCCCCAGCCCATCCCCAAACATGTTGCACATGCGAAACATGAGCACATGCACTCCCGAGCCCTCCCCCCAGCCCATCCCCAAACATGTTGCACATGCGGAACATGAGCACATGCACTCCCGAGCCCTTCCCCCAGCCCATCCCCAAACCCGCGGCGACCCGAGGGGGGGATGCACTCCCGAGCCCTCCCTGCTTCCCCAACCCATCCCCAAACCCGCGGGGACCTGGGGGGGGTAGGGGTCCCCACCAACCCCGGCTTCAACCAACAGCGCAAACTGGAACCTACAAAGCGAGAGAGAGGTTCAAAGGTCTACAAACGGCTCTACGAGGGTTATAATAAAGGCTTTATAAGGTTATCTAAAATTGACTGCTACATAAGCATTGCAACACTGGATTTATGGGGTGTTAGAAATGGCTTTAATTTATGCTGGTTACACGAATTAATGGTCTCAGAGTAGACACCACTTAGTCATATTCCGAGGTTTGCTGGGGCCATAAAGGCGTACACTAGCTAGCGTATCCTCCCGCCACCTCCCTCTACACCTCCGGGGAGTACGTAGCAAGCCTAGCCTTAGCTAACTGGCTTCACGCAGTAGCACGGACAACACGAACTTCTCTCTTTTTATCGTTGTGGCGAAGTCCCGCGTTAGCCCGGAGAAGAACTCTAGCCTTCGGCTAGCTAATCTCCAGGGTGGGCTGGGTGGGCACTCGAAAATTGCCCCCCAGTAGCTGGGGGCCTTTCAGCACAATGGCCACGGAGTAGCACTGCTTCACCGGCCATGTGCAGTCACTCTAGCAAACAGACAGGCTTCGTTCTGTTTAGCTTCAGAGGAAAACCCCTTCGACGTTTTCTAGCGAAACACCTTCGATGTTTCCCACAGGGATACTAGCGCTAGCATACACTGTCGTACCTCGTGCCTCGGCACGAGTGCGTACACTAGCTAGCGTATCCTCCCGCCACCTCCCTCTACACCTCCGGGGAGTACGTAGCAAGCCTAGCCTAGCTAACTGGCTTCACGCAGTAGCACGGACAACACGAACTTCTCTCTTTTTATCGTTGTGGCGAAGTCCCGCGTTAGCCCGGAGAAGAACTCTAGCCTTCGGCTAGCTAATCTCCTTGCGCAGCCGTAGGGCTACCAGGGACCTAGCTTACGGGCCTTCTTATCATGTAATCCTAGCCTAACCCCCTCCTAACTACCCCCCCCCTGGACAGTGTGCCTGCCTTATGCAACCCAAAATAACACCTAAATAAGCTCGTTTAGGGTTTATTTGGTGGGTCGTCCGCTTTCAGGGTCATGGGAGGTCGCCGCACTTTCACTGGGCATTCAGTTTAATGGTCCTTGACCCCAAAGTCAAAGCGCTCATTTCGTCTCGAGCGGTTCCGAGCACACTCAGCGCCGTCTTGGCACAGGCAAGGTCTCGATTCGATGTAGGTCTTTAAGACGTCACCGATTCTGAACACACTCAGCGCCGCAAGGTCTTGCTTTGATGTAGGTCTTTAAGACGTCATCGGTTCTGAGCACACTCAGCGCCGGCTTGGTGCAGGCAAGGTCTCGATGTAGGTCTTTAAGATGTCGTCGGATGGCCTGGGACAGAGACAGACAGACAGACAGACAGACAGACAGACAGACAGAGGACGGGCGGACGGACAGAAGAAAGCGAGAGAGAGAGAGAGAGAGAGAGAGAGAGAGAGCGAGAGAGCTCAATAGTTTGTCCCTATTTTGTCTTAGTTTGGCTTATGTTGTCTTATTTTGTCTTACCGAATTGCAGTCGCTGAAGGAAGTTGCGCTTCACGAAAGAGAGAGAGCGCGAGAGACAGAGAGAGAGCGAGAGAGCGAGAGAGAGAGAGAGAGAGAGAGAGAGAGAGAGAGAGCGACAGAGAGAGAGAGAGAGAGAGAGAAACAGAAAGAGCGAGAAGGGAGAGGGAGGGAGAAAAAGAGAGAAAAGAGAGAGAGAGAGAGAGAGAGAGAGAGAGTGAGAGAGAGAGAGAGAGAGCGCACATGCACATGACATGAACTTGTCATGTCTTGGCCAAGCCGCATCTCGAATTTGTTGTGCGGGTTGCGCGCATTCCATCTGCGGTATGTGAAGCTCAACACTTCGCGAAGTGCCGAAAGCTGATCTGGACAACGTTTCGTACCCCAGCTTCTCTGGCAACTGTCTTTCTCGATCGGGTCACCTCGCAGCCACGGGATTGGGGGTGTGGAAATTGCGGGGACAAGCAAAACGCCAATAAATCCAAATCCTACCGACGTCGGAACGCAGACTTCCTGAACCCACACAATATACTCTTGGACTGGAAGGATTCTGAAACTTGAAATCGTAATCAGTCAAAGAGCCGATGGGGTATTCAACCTTCCAAAACTTCTGCAAGGGCTGGAATCGCATCCAGAAGGTAGAAGTAATGGCACCGCCCCCCGGCAGGAGCTTCTTGAGATCGGGCGGCGTCAACTCCCACTGCCTCTTGCGTTCAGCAGCTTGTTGCTGTTCCTGCTTCTCCTCACGCTTCTTGGCAGCCTCTGCTACCTTCCGTTCTGCTTCTGCACGCGCCTCTGCATCCTTCATGCTCTTGACCGCACGCTTCTCACCAGTTTTGGACACCTCTTCCTCAAACTGCTGCATAGCCTGCTTCTTCAGCTCTTTAAAGGAATCGGCATTGTCAACGTCCATCTCGCTGATCATCGCCAAGACGCCCATATCCAGGCGAGCTGCTTGCTTGCCCATGAGAGCGGCCACACGCTCCTCCACTTCGTCCGGACTGTCCGGAAGAAGATAGCGCACAAGCGCTCGTACGAAGTCGATCTTGATTCGGTTTCCTCGTTTGCCCGACCCCTTTTTGGGGTCTGGCAAAGGCACTCGCAGGGACGTGCATATCTGGACCAGTTGATCTTTCGTCAACTTCATGCTCTGCTGGCGAAGAACCGCTGCACGCAGGATCCCCTCCTTTGACTTCACATGTATGCAGGACCCCAACTGATGCAAGGAGTCCGGGACACAAGCTGGTGGGAGAACCTCATGCACGACAAACATCCATGCAGAACTTTCGGCGGACACTGTAAAATTGAACAGCATCTCCACTCCCTGATGGTTGGGGTCAACGGACAAGAACTCCTGATGCATGCACGAGGCAAGTGGCGTGGCTTTCTCAAAAGCCCCTGGTTGCCTGTGTTTGATTGGCACCTAAAGCACAAGATTGGGAATACTTTACAGATCAGATCACCTCACACCACGCCGGCCTTTTCTGCACCATGGGACTCTGGGACCATATTAAAGGGAAGAGGGTCATGGTTTGCAGGGTCCTGCTGGCCCACTTTGTGCCGCCGCAGCTTCATGCCAAGCGCGCACCATCCAACGAATCCGAGCGAGATCATGAAAATGTCCTTGGAGCGCTCCCAGAAGATGGCCCCTTTGAACAGCAATGCACCTGCATCGCTGAGTCCATGATTCATAAACACTGCTGCGGAGTTTGGGCTGCTGCTACAAAAGCGCGGGCACTGGTTTCTATTTAAACTGAGCGCTAAACAAACACCAAACCCAAACCTCGCCGGAATTGATGGAGCGCGAGTGCCAAAAAAGCTGAGGCCAGGGCTTGCCCAAGCCATGGTGATATTCCGAAACCCAGAATCAGACTCTTTGAGGAGGTAGCAAGCGGCAGCCGCGCTCCTGTAGTGAGATAGAGGCCCCGCCAGCCTCCACTTTGTCTTCACTACACCCTCCGCTGTCTTGGGAAACTCCATGTCCTGCGCTTGGGGAAGGGCGGTCGCGGCAACATTGAATGCTGTGTTGAATTTTTGCATCCACTCGTCTTTCGCGCTCCCGAACTTTTCAAGCCATCTGAGCCAATCCGAACGGTCTGGCAAGCGCTGCTTCATTCCTGATGATTTGATGAAACCAGAGCTGGTGCAATACAGCCACAGCCCCATTCTGCTGGTGCATTTGTTCTTGTTGGACCGACTAACCACATCTGCCAAATGTCCGAAACAGCTCTCCAAAATCTCCTTGGTGGAGCTGCTGCCCCCGAAAAAGCTTCGCATGAGTCGAACCACGGTCTGGGCTTCAGGATCGTCAAGCTTGTACTTCGCTCTTCGCAACCGGATCATGACCTCGCGCGCGAGGCTCTCTTCTTGAAAGGCCAGGTCTTGCAACAACTGCCCCAATGCAGGCTTGGTCCGTAACATGTCTTCCGCTTTGACCACGGCATCAATGATAGCACCAATCCTGTGAAGTGCTCGTTGGGCTTTCTCTCGATCTGCCAGCAACAGAGAGCCAGCAGCCAGCGGCAACGTAAATTGGTGAAGCATTTCCGACCATGCAAAGTTGCCTGCCAAGTTGGTTGCAAAACTGAAAGCTTTTTGCGCTAGCTCCATTTCCTCGGGCAGCATGTCGGGCGTGGCACACGGGTTGCAGTGGGGCGTCATCTTCATGGCCATGTACAATGCTGGGTTCGAAGTGGTTGTCAGGATCTGGTTGCAGGCTTCCAAACTGCTTCCAACACAGCGCTCTGCATTCCATTGCAAAGTTTTCTCCAGCCCCTCTTTCTGCGCTTGCAGATCACTTTGGTAGAGCTTGTGCAATGGCCTGGTAACACGGCACAAGATCTCTGCACTGCAGCGCAGACGGTCATCGGATAGTATATCCAGCTGCATCTGGTGCGGACCCTTACTCTTGTAGGCAGCATAATAATCCGACTTGCTCTGCTTCTCTGGCGCACCTTCCGCTGCTTCCTCTGCCTCTGCTGCTTCGTCTACGTCCTCGGCCTCGTCCACTGCAGCGCCTGCTTGCAGCTCCTCCTCGTCTGCCTTACCATAAACCCGTGGACGAAACAAACAATTATGGCAATTATGGGTTCCGGGTTGCTTCGGTGTCCGATTTCAAAATCTGCCGCTGCCCGAACCCCAAACTGTGCCACGCTTCGCAACACCCCTGTGAGTTCATGTGATGAATCCCACCCACAAGCCCTGCCATTCCATTCCTGGGGCAGAAGATAACTCAGACTTCATTCAAGCCAACCAAACAGCTAAACCCGTACTCGGCTCTGGTGCTCTCAGGGCAAGGCGCCATACCGGCGGACTCAACCACCACAGCCCGAGCTGCTTCACGCAACACCGTCCAGTCACGTAAGAGCATCTTGAAGCAGGTGAGGCAGCCGAACCAGCTTTTGTTCTTTGCCTTGGATCAAACAACGAGAAGCGATCAAACTGCTTAAGCAACAGACCGTCATGACTTTCTCAAGCGCAGAAGGATTTCAGGCAATCCCCTGATTTTGCCAGCGGGTCGCGTAATGCGCACGCCGCTTTATCAGGGGGGCTTCCAAAAACTCTGCGATCGACGTTTGCACAGCATCGCTGGTCATGCCTCGCTCTCCACGGTCGTGGTTGATTTCTTCAGAAATCTCTTCGAAGTACTGCTCATCTTGTTTCCCTAACCACGTCTCCAGGTACTCCTGTCGCATCGTCACACGCTCGCCTGTGATCTTAGACCCATGTCCATAGTTGGCCGCTATGGTGAGGCGCATCAAGTCAAAATTCATGCCAGTATGTTTCACAGCTCGCTTCCAGCAGTTCCACTTGGGGTGGCATATCTCCGGGGAAATCGCGCCTCTGACTCCTATGTAACTGTGCAAGAAGTGAAAGCACTTGTTCTGCACCCCCTCTTCGTCTGCCACCTGAGCCAAGAAGCGCTGAAGTGCCCACGTGACGCAGCCGACGCAGAAGCAAACCACACATACAGACACACAGGGACGGGTTTGGCAAGAGCTAATCCTGCAAAGGTTCGAAGCGCAGGAGTCCCATCTCGTCGATGGATCCAAGCTCTGCTTTCATCATGTTTTCGCCCTTGAACAGGTCTCTGGACGGTCGCGCCCATTTCGGAATGAAGAAGTCAAGCCCTTTCCCAGTGAGAAGAAGAAACGTGTGGTGCAAAGCTTTCATAGTCACCTGAGCTTCGAGAGCTAATTGCAACATGCTTGCGTGCAGGCCGTACATGACCGCCGGGCATGAGTCATTGAGTGTCCGGCAAAGAAACAGTTCGCTCCTTTTCCGGAGATTTGGGGCCTTCCAGAAAGAAGCCACAACATAGTTGAATCGACGTCTGTGGCTTCGACCTGGGCGCACTCCCGCCTGAACACATCCTTCACTCGGAGTGTGTCCGAGATCGTCTTGGGAAGGACCTGAGCAGAAACCCACTTCACCAAACTTCGATTGCAAACGTTGGCGCGATCACTCTTTGAAGTCATGCCACGTCGAAAAGGCACTGAAGTCTTTTTTTTTCTGGCGACAAGTGCAGTCAATGCTCTACGCTAAAAACACCAATGCCAGCGATGCCTCTGGCTCTGTGTCTGTAACAGCATCACTTCGCACGCTCCGCTGCTTCGTCGTTCGTCTTCGTCTTCTTGTTCTGGCTGCCATCATCGTGACTCTTGAACGGTTTGGGGTTCTCAGAGCTCCGGCGTTTTCTCTTGGGCTTCTGGGTCGGGCTGATGTCGCCGGACTTCTTGTCCAAGCCCGGGGTGTCCAGGCTGTCCAACGAGCCCGTGCCAACGTAGATGTTCTTCGCACGCAGCTTCTTCGGTCTCTCCGGCGTTGTGAGTTGCGTCGGTCTGTCCGGAGTAAACTGAGCCGATGCACGCACAGGCGGTGAAGACTGCATGATTCACGGCCCGCTACA